AGAGCTCTCCCAAAAGGCACCGAAGAAAGGAAAGTTGCCCCATTCCTTTAGGAAAACGTATGTTTTAAACATATTCGCCTCTTGCGCTTTCATACCGTGCAAGACGGCCCAAAAGACCCCTAGGACAGCTCCAAGACGGCCCACAAGGGTCCCAAGACCGCAAAAGAAGCCCCGATGATGGCCCCAGAGAGCCCCCGGACGGCGCCGAAAGGGGGCCCACGGGAGGAACCCAAACCCACATTTCCAGCCTTCGGCCCCAGGACGCCCCCAGGTTGCCTCAAGAAGCCCCCAACACGCCCCAAGAGGGAGCCCGAACAGAGCCCCCAAACGCCTCCAAGAAACTCAGGAATCGGACCAACCTTGTGGAATGCACCCCGAATCGCCCACTAGCCGCCGTGGGGAACCGGAACCCATCAGCGTTTTCACTGTTAACGGCACCAGGCCTTCGGACGAAAGCGAGGGAGCGATCCACGCTGACGGGCTTCCAACGGAGGCGCATCATCGACACCCGCTCCCCCTCACGAGAGCACGATCGAACCGCCCGCGCGAGTGGCGGAGGCAGGTCGACGAACTGAAGGGAGTATACACAACATACTGTCAGCTCGTGATTAATAAATGATCCCCCCCGGGGCGGATGAATAGACCCCGCGGGGCGAGAAACAGTTGTTTCAGTCACGCGCGCCAGGAGCTCGTCGCGGGCGCCGCCGAGGGCATCGTGTACAGTAGGGGCCCGACCACAAGAAACCTTCCACGGGAAACGCGACCCTGGGACCCCAGAGCATCCACTGACTTTTCGTGTGTGGGCTCGCCACGCTTTCCACATCAGAGCACTCGACGCCCAAGAAAACCGGGGCACCCTGGGGGCAAGCAGGGTGTTTCTTGGCATGGGCCTCCACTGTCCCCCCCCCCTTCTCGGCAGCCTCGAGGCGGTTGCTCTGCACATAGAAGTGGCCATAGGCAGTAAGCACGAACTCTCGAAAGCCCGCGAGGGCCTCTGCCATCTGCGCTGGACCCTTCTCCTCCTCCTCCTCCTCCTCCTCCTCCTCCTCCTCCTCCTCCTCCTCCTCCCCCCCCTCCTCCTTCTTCTTCTTCTTGTTCCTCCTCCTCCTCCTCCTCTTCCTCCTCCTCCTCCTCCTCCTCGTCCTCCTCCTCCTCCTCCTCCTCCTCCTCCTTCTCTTCCTCCTCCTCCTCCTTGCTCCTCCTCCTCCTTCTCCTCCTCCTCTTCCTCCTCCTCCTCCGCCTCTCCCTGCTCTTCCTCCTCCTCTTCCTCCTTCTTCTTCTTATTCCTCCTCCTCCCTCCTCCTCCTCCCTCCTCCTCCTCCTCCTCCTCCTCCTCCTCCTCCTCCTCCTCCTCCTCCTCCTCCTCCTCCTCCTCCTCCCTGGCGCGCAGACTCCAGCAGGGGCGGCGCGGGAGGATCTCCCAGGGGGGCAGGCAGCGCCGACCCGAGAGATTCGGGAAGGCCTCCACAAGCGTATGGCTTTGTTGATCGGGGAGGCGTAAAACGCGGGCTCGGGTGACACGGGTTGGCCTGGCAGGGCCGCAAAGAGAATGACGAGACCCAGTCTCAAATCCCACCAGCCCTCCACATGTGTAAGCGTTGTTTCGGTCGGGGAGGCGTAAGACTGTCACTCGGGTTTGGGTGACTCGGGTTGGCCTGACGGGGCCGCAAGAAACATGACGAGGCCCAGTCTGAAATCCCCCCAGTCCTTTAGGCGTGAGCGGTTTGGAGAATGTCCTCTTCCATCCCCCTTTCTTCCCACTTCGGAATCATTTCGGGGAGGGCTCACCCCTCCCCCTGCTCCCTCCCTCTGGGCCTGGAGGAGGGGGGGGCGCGGATCATTGGAGTGTGCAAGATGGCCTCGTCGAAATGCCAAGATCATAATTTGTACGATGGTTTTGATCACATGCTTCCTGAAGGGAGTACGCTAATAAAGTACGGCCCCTTCTGTAATCGAACGCCTCAAAGATGGCCCCGAGATGGCCCCCGAGGCTCCCCAGGGTGGCCCAAGACGGCCCCAAGAGGTACCCACGATGCCCCAAGAGGCCCCCCAAAGGCCCCCCAGATGCCCCCAAGATGCTCCCAGACCCCTAAGAGGCCCCAAGAGGCCCTCTAGAGGCACCCAAGACGCCCAACGAGGCCCCCGGGACTGCAAAAAGACCTCCCGAAACCACCAGAGAGGCCTCCAACAAGCTCTGGAGAGACACCCGAAGAGACTCCGAGAGACATCCAAGATGCCTCTTGCATTTCTGTTCGCCGTCCTCCTCCGCCTCCTCCTCCTCATTCGCCTAATTATGCCTCCTCCTTGCTGCTGTTCCTCCTCCTCCCCCTCCTCCTCCTCCTCCTCCTCCTCCTCCTCCTCCTCCTCCTCCTCCGCCTCTTCCTCCTCCTCCTCCTCCTTGCTCCTCCTCCTCCTCCTTCTCCTCCTCCTCTTGCTCCTCTTCCTGTGCCTCTCCCTGCTCCTCATCTTCCTGCTCCTTCTCCGGTTCCTCCACCATTCCCCCCCTCCTGGGGTAACTATGTCGTCTTACCCAGCATGTCAGTCCACTGCATGCTCTTCCACATCCCTGATCAAAGCAACTCGTCTGGACGTCGTTCTCGATGGACTGGTGGGGCGACGCGAAGCGTCTAGAACTTGGCGCGAGCTCCCGCTGCAAATATCCCGCGAAAACTCGCCCGTCAAAATTCGGGACGGGCCCGTCAAAAAGCGCTGGCAAACCCGGGCTCCAGCAAGCTCGATCGGGCGGGTGGTACAGTCGGGGAGTTGACCTAAGGAACGATAAATTCGCCGGCCCAACGGGCCAGAGGCGTGCTAAGATCTCCGGTAACTGGTTAACAATTGTATTGTACTAGTTCGCGCGCGCGGGGCGGCCCCTGGGGGTCCCCCGGCGAAAAGTACCCCGCCCGCCGCCTGGGAAGGTCCCGCCCGGTTCAACTCAGAGATGGTTTTCCTTCTGGGTGCGGCCTCTCAGGCCGCCCTGAGCGCGCCAAGAGTGCCCCAAGAGGCCCCCAAGACTGCCCAAGAGGCCCCCGAGACGCCCAAAGAGCGCTCGAACACGCCGAAGATGACCCCAAGACGGCCCAAAAGGCCCCCAAGACAGCCCAAGAGGCCTCCAAGACGCCCCAAGAGCCTTCCAAGAGGCCTCCGAAGAGAGCCCCAAGAGGCCAAAATCGTTGATTTGCATTGTTTTTGTTTCGATGTTTTTTGTGTTCTGGCTTTTTCGGCTTCCGGACGCTCCAAGACGGCCCAAGAGGCCCCCAAGACCGCTCCAAGACGGCCCACGAGGCTCCCAAGACGGCCCCGGAACGGCCCAGGAGGGCCCCCAAGACGGCCCAAGTGCCGCCCAAGACGGACCAAGAGGCCCCAAGACGGGCCCAAGAGGGGCTCAAGAGGGGAACCGAGAACTGAAAAATCGAGCCCTCCGCCCCAGAAGGCGCCCAGGAGGCCCCAAAAAGGCCCCAAGAGGCCCCCAAGAGGCCCCCAAGACGCCCCAAGAGGCGCCCAAGAGGCCCAAAAGAGGCCCCAAGAGGCCCCAAAACGGCCCCCAAAACTCGGCTAGCCCACAACGGTGCGACAATATGGGCCGGCGGAATGAGCGAAGCGATTAAATAAGGAACGAGGCCCTTTTTTCCCATACATTGAACTCCGATGTTCCATGGAAAACCGCAGGAAAACCCAAGGAGCACTGTAAAGCAACTGAGGAACACGGAGCCCCTCCCCAACAAAAAGGGTTCCTTCTTCAGGGCCCCGACAGCAATGGGGGGTAATCAAAAGGGGGGTGAGGCAGAAGGGCCCCTTTTTAGGGACCGCTTCACCCTCCATCTTTCGCCATCGCCCGGCCGTCCCTTCCCCGAGCATTTTTGTCGGTCTCGCGCGCGGATTTGTCTCGCGAGTTGCTCCTCGATGGTCCTCGCCGCAAGGAAATCCACACGTCTGAGCAATGCCAAGATTTAAATAGAGGTCCGCCCCCCTTCCCCCACGCCCGACTCGAACCTTGCGTTTCTCCGGTCATGCCGTTGTTATTGTTGTTGTTGTTGTTGTTGGCGGTGGTGGTGGTGGTGGTGGTGGTGGTGGTGGTGGTGGTGAAGTTGTTGTTGTTGGTAATGGTGGTGGTGCTGGTGTTGTTGTTGGTGGCGTTGTTGTTCTAATTGGTGTTGGTGGTGTTGGTGGTGTTATGTGGTACTGTTGCTGTTGTTGGTGGCGCTGGTGGTGTGGTTGGCGCTGTTGTTGGTGGTGTTGCTGTTGCTGTTGCTGTTGCTGCTGCTGTTGTCGTTGTCGCTGTTGCTGCTGCTGCTGCTGTTGCTGTGGCGCGCCGGCGCGCGGCGGGCCCGAGCCGCCGACGCCGCCTTCCCCGAGTCCGCGGGCATGGCTGCCGGGCGCGCCCCCGCGCGCGCGCTAGCCGGGCATCTGGCCGAGGCCAGCACAGCGCGGGGCCTCTCGGCCGCGGGCAACGCGCGGCGCGCCGCGGGGCGGCGGCGAGCTCGTCCGAGGAGGCTGGCGCCCCTGACCTTCCAGGAGGGCTACAAGTCAAGGGGCCCAGGGACACACATATCAATTATTGATACACACAAATACCAGGATTCCCCGTATTTTTCCGTATCTTCGGGGTGTTTGTCTTCCCCCCCACTTCCCATCTTTTCCAATATTTTCTGGGTAACCGACGATTAATTGCGTCTGTGTGTTATTTTTCCTCCTGAACAAGGTAGCACCCGCACCTAGATACCCAGATTCATGTCGAGTTTTCTTGAGCAGTCCAGACAGGTCTCCAGGTTCGGAGTGCCAAGCTTTGTCGACCTTGCTAAGGAACCAGTGGACCAGGGATCCAGGGCGTGGGTGGACCAGCAACCGAGGCGCGGCCACGGGTAGCTCACCGCCGCCCGTGTGGGACAAGGCATCCTCCAGGGTCGGGAGCCTCCTGGGCAAATGTCGGGGATCTACTGACCAGGAAAAATCCAGACTCGGGCCAGTCAGGCCGCGCAGGGTCCTGCGGGATCTTGCGGGATCCTGCACCCAAGCCCTGGACAATGCACCCCTGGCTCTGCGGCATCCTGCAAGATCTGGCGCTCTGACGGACCCCCCTTTGCACTGACCCCTGTCTCCTGAGCCCCGAGAATTCCTTCACGAACGCCCCCACCGTGCTCGGGGTCGGCCAAAAGAAGGGGGCGTCCAAGAGGAGGGGGGGACGCAAATCATGGCCGGCTGCATGTGCGCGGCCCAGGAAGGAGGAGCCAGGGACGTAATCGAACAAGAGGCGCCATGAAATCTGGGGAGATCTGATGGCCCCCGCCATGAGGATCCACCCACCCACCCCCCTGCAGTGGAAGCCCGACCACAAGAAACCTTCCACAAGAGGCCCAACCCTGAGACCCCAGGACGTCCATATATTGTTTGGTGTGGGAGCGCCACGCTCCCCATGGCAAGAACATCGAAGCCCAACAAGCCCAGGGCACCCTGGAGGCAAGCAGGTTGCTACTTGGCATGGGTCTTTGTGGGCCCCGGAAACGGCAGGGCCGTTTTTTCACTTTTCCAACAAAAGGTCCCTTGAAAATGGAAGCGGCAAAAAGAACTGCGACCAGAAACGGCAAAAAAAAGCTCCAGGATTGGAACCAGAGCCGGAACCGGTCAAAAAGCGGCGACGGAACCGGTAAAAAAACGGCAAAACGGAACCGGTAAAAAAACGGCAAGACGGAACCGGAAACAAAAACGGCCCTGTCGTTTCCAGGGCCCACTAAGCCTCTGGGGCCACGAGCGGCTCCCCAGCCAGGCTCGGCCCGAACTCCGGCTCCGCGGGAGCCTGCAAGAGTCCTGGCGGCCTCTGGCCGAGCCCCGATGCTGCGCCGCACTGCGCTGCTTGCCTGCACCAGGCAGGCCAGCGGAGTCGGAGTGCCCTGCGCCCTGGGAGAAGGCTGGGAGGGAGCACGCGAGCAGGAGGAGGAGGAGGAGGAGGAAGGAGGAGGGGGGGGGAGGTGAGAGGAGGAGGAGGAAAAGGGATGAGAGGAGGGAGGGTGGAGGGAGGTGGAGGAGGAGGGGGAGGAGGAGTAGGAGGAGGAGGAGGAGGAGGAGGAGGAGGAGGAGGAGGAGGGAGAAGGAGGGGCAGGAGGAGGAGGAGGTCAGGAGGAGAGGGGCAGAAGCACGGGGAGCGGGGAGCAGGAGCAGGCGCAAGACCATCAGGAAGAGGGGCGGCGACGAGGAGGGGGGAGGGGTACGCACAGGGAGGAAGACGACGAGGAGCAGAAGCGAGAGGAGCGGCGAAGAGCAGTGTGGGGGAGGGGAGCAGGAGGCGCAAAAAAGATGAGGCTGGATGGAGCAGGGAGCGAGAGATGGGGGAGCGCCAGGAGAGTCCGAGGAGGAGCGAGGAGGAGCGTGCCTGGGGCCGCGCGACTTGCTGGTGAACCTCCCCCGGGATATCCCAAAAATCCGATGCCCTGTTTCTCGACACGGGGCCCCCGGACGTCCTGGCGCCTGCCCTGTCGACCGGCTCTTCGTCCCGAGTCGTTCTGTGTGACAGTCCTGGGGCCTGCTGAGGACCCCCAACGGGCAGAAAACTGACGAACGAACAACACACACCCATACCCATAGGGAGGTCGTTGGGAGGAGCACTGGCTATGGGTATGGGTGCGGGTTGTCGGACCCTGGGGAACGCTCCCGTTCGAGCGGGGACCCCCATCCAACAACACGCACCCATAGCCCTCTCCGATCCCCCTATAGGTATGGGTGTGTGTTGTTGGTTCGTCAAAAACGGCGAGAGACCTCCGCGTGGACGCTCTCAAAATGTTGTAGGCATTTCGGCGGCGAGCCCCGGGGGGGAGTGAGAGGGAGAAGGCCTTCTTCTCAGAAGGCGGCGGGACTTCTCAGAAGCCCTCGCGCCTTCTGAGAGATGATGTGTCTTCGGGGAAGGCTTCGAAAACCGATCAAAGTCCGGGAGGCGTCCGAGTCCTCTGAGAAAGCCTTCGCCTTCCCACTTCCCCCCCGAGGTTCGCCGCCGAGCACTGGCTGGTGACCGACATCCGTGCACACGACCCTCGCCCGAGCTGGAAGCACGGCACTCCCCGCGCGATGGACCAGGGGCTCCAGCCGCAGGTCCGAGGTGAGGGCGCGCGTCCCGAGGCGGTAGACGAGCGGGTCCTCGGCCAACGGCGCGGGAACGCGCGGGCCCCGCATGTAACAACCGCAGGCGACGGCGACGGCGTCGACGCTGTTCTGTCAGCGGCGACCTGGGCCAAAGAGGTACACATCGGAGCCGAATTGGGCACCGACGCCGACGCAGACGACGCCGACGGCGGCGACGACGCCGATGAGGCCGACGCCGCCGACAACGCCCGCGCCGACGGCGCCTGCGGATGCGGCAGTACCAACACCGACGGCGGGGTGCCCGCATCCTCCTCATACGTCCTGGCCCCCTTCCCCATGCCGACAGCGGGGCGACCCCCCTCATATGTATCATCACCCGCCTTGTTTTCCTCCTCCTCCTCCTCCTTATCCTCCTCCTCCTCCTCCTCC